CCCCAAAACCCCAAAACCCCAAAACCCCAAAACCCCAATCCAATTAAATTTATTTGAAAATTCATCAATATGAAATCAAACGATCTACGTAATAGAACATTTCATATGAGCAGAAGGAACACTTCAATTCAGGGTAAAAGATTAAGACATGTTCTTAGAGAAAATACTCAAACTGCAAGAAACAATAAAAGAAACCTTATCGACTCTCATAGAAATTACTATGATGAATTCTCAAGTGCTCAACGTCAAAGGGGAAAATACGATTATACCTCTAACAGAATATTTAATAATAGCATTACTCTGAAGAACTATGATAGTGATGAGAAAGACTCTAAGAAGAAGAGCATCAATTACATGAATTATTCCAAAATTGACCATGATATAATCACAAACAAGCCAGTCGATACAACTTATTCTAGCTTTAGGGAGCGATTGCTGAAGTATGAACCTCAGAAATACGAAGATACAACCAAGCCAAGGTTTTACAAAAGAAAGCCTTGTCCAGTCAACATTTTAAAGAATATTAACTATGTTTCAAATCTAAGCAAGCTGAACTCTTTAAAATAAAGAAATAAAAATAAGAAACAGCACTTCAATGAGTAACACAAGAAAGAATGATGATCTTAGAGCAGGTGGGAAATACCTATTCTTTAAAAGGAAGAACTCTCATCTTTCTAGAAGATTTAACGAAGTAAATAGTTCGCATCAAAAACTTAAAGATAAGCTCAACCAGAGCCGGAAAAGTAATTCGAGAGCCCAAAGCGATATGAAATGATTGGATTCTTACAGTATGAACTCAGCTAAGAAGTCAAATACTAGTTCTGTGTTGAAAAGACTCAAAAGAAATGCCACAGCAGAATCTACCGTAAAGAAAAATAAATATGAAAGTATCCCTCAAAATGATACCAAAGTTAACAATAACCATCAAAATATGAATCCTGAAGAAATTGAGCAACTATTCCATCATCTAAAACAGAAATTGTCAGACAATCACCAAGGAGACGACCTAGATAAACTTATAAAAAGACTTGAATTGCTCAAAAAATTCATCCTCCAAAGCAACTCCACCATCCTCGAGACACTAAAATCCAACCCACCCTCCAATTTCACCCCCTCTAAGAGCCCAAAAGACCCCTGCCACCCCTCTTCCCTCCTCACTTCCCTTACAGACCACCTCAAGAACCCGCCTGACTACATAGACCACCCTCTCAGTACACTCTCTTCACTTCTGGACGCTTGGCTGGGCCTGCCGGCCCAGAAGCCAGAAGAGAGGAAGGAAGAGACTGGAGATAGGTGCGAAGGAGAAAAGAAGGCACCAGAGAGTGTAGATGAGAAGAAGGTAGGAAATTGGGGTAATTGGGGATTTTGAGTGCCGTAGGGGGTTTTGGGAATTGTCCAGTATTTTTTTTTGAAAAATTAGAATTTTGGTTGTTATTCTCATTAGGATTTAAATTATTTGATGTTTTAGAAGCAAAAAATTAGGATTTTGTCTCGGAAATTGGAGTTAGAGCAAGAGCTTAAAAGAGAAAAACAATTACGGAGGAAAAATGAAATTATACTCAACCAGATTAAGGAAAGTCTCCTGAAGGCAGGAGAAAGCATTAAAAAGCAATAAGACAAATTAAGTATTTAAAAGTTTGATCAACAGTTTAAAATATTTTAGGGGTTTTGGGGTTTTGGGGTTTTGGGGTTTTGGGG